GGCTCCTACTGCTCCTGATGTGTGGGAGGAGGGGAGATAGGGACGGGGAGCCCAGGGTTACACACTGACATCTCTCCAGCCATGAGGGCAGGGGAGCTATCTTGACAAGGAAGCTATGCACTGGAATAAAACTCTCTGTCCTTGTATTCACAGCCTTGAGCCCTCATGCCTCCCATACACTCCCCTGGCCTGTGAAGGTGCTTGGTGGCTGGCTCTTCATGCAAGGACTGCCAAGGACTGTGCCATGCTCACCATACTGGGTCCTGCAGCATCCAGTGCATCCCCTCCCCACCCCTGACACACCCAGTAATGTCTGTGCTCTGCAAAGACAGCACCGTGGGAAGCATCTGGACTTGGCCAGAGGCAGCAGACAGAGCAGGCTTGAATGTCAGCCCCACTGGGACTTTCTTCATCCTGTGGCTAGAAGATTACCTAATCCCATGAGCTTTGGTTAAACTATCTGCAGGACAGGCCTCACACCCTCCTCTTAGAAGACTGCAATGGCCTCTGTATATGGTAGCCAGCAACTCCTGGGCAGGGCCTGAAAAATGGAAGTTCTGGTTGTTACACAACTCATGATAGCATTCGCTGGACAAAGCTGTGATTTGGGAGAGCTGTTAGCCCTGAGGGACACAGCAGGCAGGGGCCCAAATGAGGGAATGCTCTTGACCAACTCCTGCAGGACTTTGGGTTCTTGGCGAGCCTCAAAGGGAGGATCTTGGTAAACCACTGCCTGGGCCACCCAGGGGCCACCATCTCATTCCAGCCCCTCCTGCCCATAACTGGCCCCTTGCCAGGCTAAATTTAGCTGTGAACAGGCTCTCCTCTCTCTGGGCAAGAGCGGGGGTGGAGAGGAATTTGGCAGATTTCCTGCTGGCTTCCTGGCAAAGGGACAAAAGCCCGCCAAGTGACCCAAGTGTATTCTCAAACGTAAACCCTTACACATCTCAGACCTCAGGTGTGTAAGCTCAGAGCTGTGGAGCAAGGTGGCTGTGGACACACTTGAAGTTGGATGCAAGGGGCTCTTGGGGGAATAGGGTGTGTGTGCTTAATATGTACCCTTGGCTTGGAAGAGGCTCCCAGCTACCTGTCCTGTCTCCAGTTTTCTAACATTTAAAAAATTATGTGTTGTTTGCCTTTTGAGAGCTCTTCCATCCACTAATTCACTCCCCAAACATCTGCAAACAGAGTTGGGTCAGACAGAAGCCAGGAGCCTGGAACGCAATCTAAGAACACAATACTTGGTGTAGGTGGACACCAAGTATTTGAGGCATCACCTGCTGGGATGTGTGTTAGTACGAAGCTGAGTCAGAAGCAGAGGAGTGGGAATTCGGACCAGGCTCTTTGATATCTCGTGCAAACATCCCTAACAGCATCTCAACCCTTGTGCCGAGCACCTGCCCCATTCCCATGGTTTGAGAAAGGGAAGAGGCAGAGGCTTCCAGCTCAGCCCCAGTTAGCAGCTACTGTTTGCTGTCTTGGCCCAGCTCTTCCTGCCCCTCCCTCAGGGTGTTGTGGATGGTGCCAACCTACGCAGAATTCAAGGAGCAACATGACATCTAAGGAAGGGAGGAAGGAGATGATTGAAGATGAGTCAGAGTGGGCACTCCTGACCGCCAGCTCTGGAGGCTTCTCCCATTAGCTGGGAGGCAGAGCTAAGGGTACCGTGTGCCAGGGAACCATAGTAACTAGGGAACATTTTGTGCCTTTGGAGCACTTTTGAGCATTTGTTCCTCCACGCCCCCGGGCCTCGGGCAGGGCTGGTATGCACGGCAGGTAAGAGAACAGGCCTGCGGAGGTGTGGGGAAAGGAGCGTGTTTTTGCCAGGCGCCTACTGCAGGCCACGCACAGAGCACCTGTGATGCCATCTCACCTGAGCTTCCCAGTATCTCTGCAAGGAAGGTCTGTTCCTAACCCCACCTACGTAGGAGCCCTGGAGAAGCCGAGTGGGCCACCCAGCTCACTCAACAAGGCTCAAGACCGGGCATGTTGGGTGTGCAGCCTGGGCGTCTGCCCCTGGGCACCACTTTCCTGGGGACTATTGTTTCTAAAATTGTGGTGGTCCCTATTATGGTGGACAGCCTGGTGCCTTCCACCTTTCCTTGTACAGGCATCTGCATGGCCTGCACAATCATAAACTCCTGCACGTAGTATTGCTTGCACATTCCCAAGCCTCCACAGCTCTGCTTTGGGAAAACCTGTTCTGAAATGAGCATTTTGCTAACACCGCGTTAGCTTCTTGTAGCTCTGTAGCATTCAAATGCAGAAGCTGATTTGTACCATCTTGCATCCAGGAGTTAGACATTCTGGCTTAAAAAAAAAAACCTACTTGTGTTCACACAGACATGGAGAGATCTTTGATCTTCTGGCTAGCTCCAAATACCCACAAATAAGGCTGGGCCAGGCCAAAGACACAAGCTGGGAACTCAGCTGGGTCTCCCACGTGGGTGGCAGAATGCAGATCTTGAAGCTGTCACCTGCTGCTTCCAGTGGTGCACACTGGTGGGAAACTGGAATTGGGAGCAGAGCAAGACTCACACGCAGACACTAATATGGGAGGCAGAAGTCACAAGAAGTTTCCACGCTGTGCCTGCCAGCTCCTGCTACAGTTTGCCTCCTCCGGAGTCCAGCCCCTAGACCTTTTGCGCACAGCCCTTTCTCCAGCTGGATTGGTTCTCACAGCAGTCCTTCACCCTCCAGAAGCTCCAGATGGTCTGGGGATGTACACCAGTCGCACTTGGCAGCTTCCGGGTGGAGAGGAGAAGGACTTCCCAGCAGCAGGGCTTGTGCACAACACTACTCCTATTGGTGGCTTCCCACTCTGGTTTTGCATGCAGATGGACTCCCTCTAGAGTTAGGCGTTGCTGGGGCTCTTACTGTGGTTGGTCAAGGCTTACTATACTCAAAGATGACAGTCTGGGATACAGGGAGCCTAGAGGACTTTGAAAGCAATAAATTACTTCCCAACTGGCTCCTGCCTGATATTGCACTGTTATCACTCCATACTTTTATCTAAAACTCTTTTGTGATGATCCACCAAGTTTCCAGGTTTGGCTTTGGGCCACCTTGGCAAGCTGTCTGCAGATATCTCTGTTGTGGAAGCTGGGGCCCACCTGTTGCTGCGATTAACCAGCAAGCTGCTCTTCAGCCTAGGGAAGGCAAGCTGGCTCACTGCCCTTGTCCTTTTCTTCACCTTACCCTCCTTCCAGTCTGACTTCCTCCACTTTCTCCTGACCCTGAGCTCACCTCCAAGGCTTCCACACCAGGCTCTGCTGCAGCTGCGCCCCTCCTGCTGACACCACTGACCTTGTGGACATCTCCAGCCAGGTAGCAGCTGGACCTGAATCATGTCTGAGCAGCATTCTTGCCTAAATGTAGTTCTGACAGCCAACTTGGATAATCCACATCTTCCCTTATGTTGAGGACAGGCTGCACCTGGTGACAAATCCCTGCCCCTAGGCACCATGCAAGCAAGAATTTCATCCTACAAAGTCAAGGTCAAAGGCTTAAGGCAAAGGGGCTCAAGCCTGCCAGTGACAGTGGTTATGCCTGGGTTCCCCTTGTTGTCCAACAACAGCTCTTGGCATTTGGCCATTTGCTGTCTTTGCTGGAAGGAGGCCTAGCAAGGGTGGAAAGAATAGGCTGTGCATTCCCGAGCTATCTGCTAGGGAAGGGAGAGGTAGAAGGCTTACACTGCCTGACAAGGCTTCCCAGGCAGTGCTTGCTATGATTTGGATGCTCAAATTTTGTGTTAAAACTCAGACCTTGGTGTGGTGGCTCTGGAGGCACTGGAGATCAGGGTCTATTTCTAACAGGCTGCCATGTTGCAGTCACTTCTCTGTGCATCCCAGCTGGAATCATGAAGATTGTGAGGGTCAGGCCCTTTCCTAGGGTCTCTTGGGATTCAAATATCCCTTTATCCAGGAGGGTCATGTAGTAGGGCTCCAGGAGAGAAAGACGAGTGACTGGGTCTTCTTCAAGCTGTCATAGACTGCGCTTGGGTAAGACTGTTGGATGGGGGAGTCTTCCAGGTCAGGAGAGGTTGACAGCAGAGAGAGATTGGGGCTCAGAGCTGCATCAGTAGGGGTTACAATGCTAGGAGTGGGTGCTGGGCACTGGTCCCTGGCAGGTAGCATGGATCAGCACAGCCCTCAGGACCAGGACCCTGCGGGATGCTAATGCTCACCTCCAGAGCAGGAAGCAAACCAGGGCTCAGAGAGTGACTTAGCACACCCAAGGTCATGTTCAATGGTAGGACTGGCTTTGCTGCAAGAACTGTTCACCACCATGCACTTGGGGTAGGGATGTTTTAATCAGGACTACTTGGGTTTCAAATGATGGGAAAATAGCTGAGTGATGTCTATGACTTCTCCAACTACAGTCAGAGGCAACGTCTTTGTGCAGGTGGGGACCTGCTGTCCTGTGTGTTGGCGTGTTTCTTGGGTAGGCTCCCCTTCCACCAGGAGAGCTGCCAGCGCTGCAGCTTCCCTGTTTCCTGGGCAACCCTCATGACAGGTTGAGTCCTTCTCCCCATTGGTCTCAACATATCCTACATCTGTCTTCATTGGCCCCGATCAGATCATGTGCTCATTCCTAAGCCAGTCACTGTGGTTGTAGCTGGTTGGGTGCAGCACTGATTATTTTGGGCCTGGAGTAAGTGTTCTCCACTGTAACTAGGGGATGGGTTTGTTTCCCATCAACTTTAAGGACTGGACAGGGAAAAGAGTTGGGGCCCAGGAGCTGTGGGCTGCTGCCACATGCAAGAGGAATGTCTGGGCAGATGGAAAAAGACAACCACCACAGGTGTCGGCCTTTGGGTTCTTTCCAGGCTAGAGAGAAGCACATGAAGCACCTGCAGGGGGGGAGCAGCATATTGGTTTGGAGAAGGACCAAGGTGTTTGCAGCACAAGAGTTCAAGAGAGAAGTAGGATTGAGGGAAGCCTGGTGTTAACTGCTGGCCGGTCTCTCACTCCCTCTGTCTCCCTCCCTCCTATTCCCAGGAGATCTCCCGCCATGGCTGTGGGGCTCTTCCGGGTGTGCCTGGTAGTGGTGACAGCCATCATCAACCACCCGCTGCTGTTCCCACGGGAGAACGCCACCGTCCCCGAGAATGAGGAAGAGATCATCCGCAAGATGCAGGCGCACCAGGAGAAGCTGCAGCTGGAACAGTTGCGCCTGGAGGAAGAGGTGGCGCGGCTGGCAGCTGAGAAAGAAGCTGCAGAGCAGGTGGTAGACGAAGGACAGCAGCAGAATGACACCCGTGCGGCCTGGGACCTCTGGAGCACCCTCTGCATGATCCTCTTTCTGCTCATCGAGGTGTGGCGGCAGGACCACCAGGATGGGTCCTCCCTTGAGTACCCGGGTGGCGATGAAGATGAGCTGCCCAGCCTCGGGGGCACCCCCTTACAGGGCCTCACCCTGCCCAACAAGGCCACCCTCAGCCACTTCTATGAACGCTGCATTCGGGGGTCCACAGCGGATGCCGCCCGCACCCGTGAGTTTGTGGAAGGCTTCGTGGATGACCTGCTGGAAGCCCTACGGAGCATCTGTAACAGGGACAGTGACATGGAGGTAGAAGACTTCATCGGTGTGGATAGCATGTACGAGAACTGGCAGGTAGACCGGCCGCTGCTATGCCACCTCTTTGTGCCATTCACGCCCCCTGAGCCCTACCGCTTCCACCCAGAGCTCTGGTGCTCCAGCCGCCCGGTACCCCTGGACCGCCAGGGCTATGCCCAGATCAAAGTGGTCCGGGCTGATGGGGATGCCCAGGGCTGCATCTGTGGCAAGACCAAACTCGGAGAGGATATGCTATGTCTCCTGCATGGTAAGAACAAGACAGCAGTGCAGTCTGAAGATGGTGGCCTGGAAGACCTCCTTTGCGCTGCAGAGTCCCCGTTTCTGGACAGCATGCAGGTCATGAAATGGTTCCAGACGGCCCTCACTAAAGCCTGGCACCGTATTGCCCACAAGTATGAGTTCGACCTAGCATTTGGCCAGTTGGAAACTCCTGGATCCCTGAAGATCAAGTTCCGCTCCGGGAAGTTCATGCCCTTTCAGCTGATGCCTGTGATCCAGTGTGATGACTCAGACCTGTACTTCATCTCCCACCTTTCCTCTGGGGAGGTCGCAGCCTCCAGCACTGACTGGCTCCTGTCCTTTGCTGTCTACGAACGCCACTTCCTGAGGATGATGCTGAAGGCCTTACCCGAGGGTGCCTGCCACCTGAGCTGCCTGCAGATTGCATGCTTCTTGCTGTCCAAGCAGAACCGCCTGACTGGCCCCAGTGGGCTCAGCAGCTACCACCTAAAGACGGCCCTGCTACACCTGCTGCTGTCCCGGCGGGCAGCTGACTGGCAGGCCTCACAGCTGGATGTGCGTCTGCATGAACTGCTACGCTTCCTGGAGAAGAGCCTGCTTGAGAAGAAGCTCCCTCACTTTTTCCTTGGCAACCGCAAGGTGCCCGAGGCCATGGGACTCCCGGAGGCCGTGCACAGGGCCGAGCCTCTCAACCTCTTCCGGCCCTTCGTCCTGCAGCGGAGTCTCTACCGGAAGACTGTGGATTCCTTCTATGAGATGCTCAAGAATGCCCCGGCGCTCATTGCTGAGTATTCCCTACATGTCCCCTCAGACCATGCCATCCTGCCCCCAAAAGCTGTCATCTTGTAGGACCAGGATGAGGGCCATCCCACGGCCACACCTGTGGCACCTGCAAGCCTTGTCCTGGAAACATGGCAGGCTAGGTTGGAGCTGAGGTTCAGTCTGCCAGGAAGCCAGGTCCTACCGTATAGATGAAACAGAATAGCAACTGGAAGCTGGTTACTCTCATGCCTTCAGGACCTGCTGGCCAAGCCATCCAGGTTCAGGGACTAATTGTGTGCAGTGTACTTTAGGCTCACCATGGACGGTCAAGATGAATGACAGGGTACTCTGGACCTTGAGTTGGAATGAGTACAAGTGATGATTCAGGTGCAATTTGTTCTGCATCTCTTGTCGGCAGAGGATCTACAAGTGAACTGTGGGAACTCAGGCTCAGACCTGGCACCCCTATTGTCTGAAACGCTTGGCCCAGCCATCCACACCACTCCACTAGCAGACACAGAAGTGGAAATTGCCAACCACTGATCCTCATCCTGCATAGAAGTTGGGGTCTCCTGGTAGTTGTCACTTGTTTTATACTATTTGGAGAAAAGACCCAGTGACCCACGAATGTGTCTACAGAAATGAGTCCTAGGTACCAGAGGAGCTTAACATTGGCTACCTTGTCAGCTACAAGGGTGCCCCCTTTCCACACGCATTGTGTCCTGAGTCCCACTGGGTGACCTTAACATGTTGAGTACCTGCTCAACAGCACCTCACCTCTCTTTTGTGGCCAGTGCTCATCTCCATGATCACCCGTGGAGGAGGTGGGCAGTGCTGAAGGTGGAGGGTAGTCCAGAGAAAGGCTCAAGGAGACAGAGCCTGGTACCACAGTGTGGAGGTCCACTTGCGATCTGACAAAGTCAGATGGTCAGAGCCCAGGGTGAGGGATGTTGTAGCCTTGGTTGTCCTTGGGGTCCCAACCGTAGGGCATGACTTGCTTGGCAGCAAGAGCTCCAGTGTGCAGGACTGTCAGCCAGCCCATCCTCTGTCCATGGGCCTTGCTGGCCATAGAGATGACCAGATGCAAAGGGCCTGGCAGGGCAGATTCAGATTCACATAGCTGCCAACATAGCCCCTAGATCTCAGGGTCTCAGTAACACCCACAGGGGACCAAAGCAGAGGACATGAGAATGGGGAGCTCAGCTGTACCCTCTCTCTTCTGCCAGTGTATGTCCTGGCACACACTGCCTTCCAGATAACATCACCCCAAGTGGCCAGGGCTACCTAGACCATTTCTCACACATCCTGAGAAAGCTCAAGAAGCTGGACTATGAGCGTGCCAGGGTTCACTCCCAGCAGGAGCCTCGGTTGTGACAAGGGCCACAGAGCCTGCAAGAAACCTCCCTGTGAGATCTGCACAGGTACTGGGTCTGCCTGTCTGGAGTCACGGCTGCCAGTTGGGCACCCCTAGCAGTGCACCCACTCAAGTGTGTCTCTACCAGGACTCATTCACAGAACTAGAACTGTTTTCCTTATTTATTATCACTTGTGCCTTGCCCCTCTCCATCCGTATCCTGTTGTGTTTTGAAGAGGCCCTGGCCACCGAGGACCGGCCACCAGGCGTTGAGCCTGAGCCCAGCTCTTTGGCCTTCCCTTTGCTGTCGGCAGAGAGCTGGCTGTGCACAGTCCCTTCTAGTTTCTTGTTTATGCAGAGACTACAGGACTCAGCGGGAACCGGGCATCTTTTACGCACTGCTTCTGAAACAGACAGCAGTGGGGCTTGGAGTGTTTCATGCTGCCTTATTTATACAGAAGGGAGAATTAAATTCTTGTGAGAAGTAGAAACGGTCACGGTGTTTGTTTTTTGCCTACAGGAAGTCTGGGACCTCCTGGGGTAGAGTCAGGACAGAATGTATTGCCTAATGACTGGCAACAGCTTTCACTCTTTTATTTCTACACTTGCAGTAAACTTGTTCACCAAACAGAACATGTCTGGGCTGTTTTCAGGCCACTGTGCACTGCTCGCAGAGTGCTAGGCTCTTCCCAGAACTGATGTGTGCAATAAGATGGGGAGCTGGGGGGGCCACAGGAAGCCTTTGAGTTTGGAAGAAAGTGTCTTTAAGGTGAAGAGTCCTGGTCCTTGGGGGCCTGTGTTCTTCCCTGCCGTCCTTCTCTGTTTCTTTCCCTTCCCAAAGATGCTGGGTCATGCCCCACATCTGCATGCTTGCTGTGTAGAATGGCCCAGGACTGTCTTTGCTGTACCTGCTGACAGGATGCAATGCATGGGGTTGGCCCAAGGTCAAGTGGTGAGTTAGGTCCAGGGAGCACCTTGCTTGGGGCAAGAAGCTACAGATGGAGGGTTGGCTTGTGTTCAAGGGTATTGTCAGGGCCCACTGCCCAGACTCCACACTGAACCTAACAAGGCTAGAAACTAGTCTTGAGTGGCCAGGTACCAGCTCTGTTGAATGCTTTTCACTTCATTTCAAATGGGGAGTTAGAATCCAAGCAGACTTCTTCCCTACAGAGCTCCTGGGTGATAGACCCAGGAGAAGCCAACAAGCCTGCCTAGGATCAGCTACCCAACAAGCCGTTCATGCATGCATCCCCACACACACTGGTGGCAGGAGAAACTCAGGCAGGCAAAAGAAGGTGAACCCTCCTCCCTAGCAGGCCACTAAGGGCCCATGGGCATCTATCAGGAGCATCAAGCATCTGAGGTGTTGCAGAAGTTAGGAAAAATGAGTAGAGCAAGCCTCGCTTTCTTCCTTTCCACGGTGATGTCGTCATGCTTCCTAATTTTTCTGGACACCTTTTCTAACATTTGGCCCTAGCTGGTTCTTTACAACAGCTGCTGCTTCTCCCACTGTGTGGCAGGTGCCCCCATTTCCCCAGCTGCCTCTACTGAGGAACATTAGCTCTGTCCCCACCTTTCCTGTGTAAACATTGCCATGAACATCTATGAGCAAAGATCCTGCCTACCCTAGTACCCACTGTGTTCTAGACATGCCAGCTTGCTGGATGTGATTCACCACCAAGCATCTTACCACAAAAAGAAACTGTTAACTCTGTTACTCAGTCCTTGTGATGCAAGAGTGAGGAACAGGTGTTTGAACGTGTACTGGGCTACAGCATGCCATCTACTTGGGCGAGCACTGTGTGGAGAACAGAAGCATAAGATAAGGGCTCTAAGCAATGGGTCTGCTCAGAAGACACAGTACCCAGTAGCGGCCAACCAAGAGAGCAACGAAGGAGGCTTAAGTGAAAGTGAAAATTGCAGCCCTGAGGTTGAGAGCAGCCAGGTCAGCCATGCAGCTTCCTTACACTCGGAAAATGTGACGCGTGTTCCCAAAATACTCGTCCTCCACCCATCTGAACCCAGGGCTGGTTTATTTCCTCCTTTTGGGGGTGGGGGAGGCTTGCTTTAATAGCATCACTTTGATGTTTCTCTGCAGCCCTACGCATAAACCAGAAAGTCAAACAGTCAACAATGCATTCTCTCCTGTGTGCCTAAAGCCATATAAACCCTGGGTGTTGCAAGACATTTGTGTTTCTGGTGGGAAAAGGTTAAGTGAAAGTACAAAATGAGGACTGGGGGTAGCAGTGGGAAAGGAGTTGGGAACTTGTTCTCATCTGCTGCTTTATACCCCCCTGACCAGTGATATTTTGGGTTTCTCTTAAGATAACTTTCTTCAAAATAGAAAGCAAAGACCCACTTCCTGTTGCTTTTTACCAGCCAAACCTGGCTGTCTTCCCATCTGATGGGAGATGACACCCACAGCCCCATCAACCTTATTATTGCCCTACTCCTGGAGGGTGGGCTGAGCTATCTTAGACCAAAGTTCTCCTGGGCCAGTGGTTACACTCCCCTCCCCAACCCCCCTGAGCCCCAAGGACTGGCAGAGACCTTGAGTCTCTTCCCATAGGCATAGCAAGTGCTAAGTCAGGTCCCCAGAGGTCTGCAAGCTACAGGTCAGCGCCAAGATCTCCCAGCTGAGGACAATGAGTCAACCCACAGAAGCCCTGCCTAATTCCTCCACAGGAATCAGGGCCATGGGGGATGCCCTAAGTATAGCCAGATTCAAGCCAGGAAGTTGGTCAGAGTGATTAGACCTCTTGGCATCCACAGCTGTGCCCCACACAGGTCCTAAAAAACTCAGATTTGTTTCCTCCTTTCCGTATGTTATGGTCCAGCCAGGCAGGGATGCTAGCTAGACAAACTCCATACTTACAGAACACAGGAGTCATACAGCATACATGTTCAGTTCAACACTTGATGAGCCAGAGAAAGGAGGAGCAGGCCGTGGGCCCTCAAGCCCAGGCCCAGTGCTACAACCCAGTAGGTAGGGAGGTCTATGTGAGGTCCCATGAACAGATGTTCTGACTTCTGAAAGCTTTGACTCTGGGTCCCAATCCTAGCATAGCACATCCCCCAAGTTTCTATGAGCCTGAGTCTTGCATCAGTCTCCTCAACTATAAATATTGCCTGCATCAGAAGGAGAACGAGAAGATGAAGGGAAAAGTATGTGTGAAGCCCTGGACAAGAAAATCAGCCGCAGACACTACCTGGAGCTCCCCAAAGCTCCTCACCCCCTCCCCTCCGGTGGTGCCCAGGCTGGCTCGACAGAACCTCCTGGCACGCCCAAGTCTGTCTTCCCCAGGGCACACTCTGCACATAGCATGGGACCTGCAGGAACCACTTCCTCCAGGCCTCCCTCAGCGTCAGTGTCAATGCCAGATGCTCAGGAAATGCGTGTGATCCTCATGGGAGGTGTCTGGGGTATCAATCCCACCCAAGTTGAAGGAAATTGAGAGGGGGGCTTTACTACTGCCATGGTGACCCTTTCACTCTCTCTGTCTCCTGGCAAGACAGCTAGAGCTGAGACCCGCAATTGCCATGGCAACGAGGGAGCAGAGCCAGGAATCTGGCCGGATGTTCATGTTGTTCCAGAGATGTAAATCCCTCCTCTGGACAGCCAAGGGGCGGGGGTGGGACATCACATCATCCATCCAGTGCTGTATTCCTACACTTGCTCATTCACAAAGCATATCCATGTTCTGTGCTAGATCCTGGGCAAACCAAACCAAGCAGGACAGGATTCCTCCTTTGAGAGGGCTCCTGGTCCAGATGGGCAGAAGAGGAAGGCCAGGAAGTGAGAGTGTAGACTCAGGGCAGGGCGGGGGGCAGCAAATCAGAGCACAGGCTCCTGGGACAGATGTTTGGCACTGCAGTCACATCACTGCTAGCAGCGTCTGCAACCCTCTGCACAGAACCCGTGTCTGAATTCCAGTTCTGCTCTCTGTGCCACTTCCTGCTTGTGCTCATGCTGGGTGGCCACAGGTGATGGCTCAACTGCTTAACTCCCTGCCACCTGTGTGGCAGATCTGAACTGAGTTATAGGCTCCTGGCTGTGGTCTAGCCCAGCCCTGAACATTGCAAGCATTTGGAGACAGGAGTGATCTCTGCCTTTCAAATTAAAAATGATCACAGGCTCTGCTCATCCCCAGCTATGTGACCCCACCTCAAAGCTTCAGTTTGCCTGTCTGGATCTGAAAGTAACCAGCACTCGCCTCCTGAGACTGAGCTGTGAACAACTAAATTGTGGTACTTGCTCCAAACACACAGAGCCTCCATCTACTCTCACTCTACCCCAGGCTCCCTCCTCCATGACCCAAAGTGCCCTGTCCTGGGTTAGAGCTTCTAGCAGGGCCTCCTCAGAAGAACCCCAGCTGACTCCTCCTCTGGCCCACCAAGCTAAGTGTGCCCCACCTCCAGGGCCTGCCCTTCCTCACCACCTCCCTGCTGCCCTCCGTCACCAGGGGCCCTGTCTCAGTAGAACTCCTAGGAGGGCCTCTGTGTTAAGCAAATGAACAGCCAATGATCACTGATTTTAGAACTGAATTTTCAAACTACTCCGTGGAGCCCTGGGAGACAATGCCCCGAGAAAGGCCACTTCCAGCAGCGAGCGTTGTGCTGTGCCGAATGCTCACTGCCATGTGGGATTTCTGCCTGTCCAGGGTGAGCGGGTTCCCCTCCAGCCACAGGGCAGGAATCTCCCCTTTCCCAGCAAGCACCCTAGGGACACAGTCACTCACAGCCAGCATTCTCCATGAGGCCTGGGTGCCATGGCAACAGGGTGCCACATTTGGAGCAGATGGTGGCTCAGACTGCCCGCCACACACTACCTCCACTGCCAGCCCAGGCACCTCACCAGCCTTGCTTCTGTCCAGCTGGCACAGGATAACACCTGGAAACCATTTACATGGTTCCAAATAGGCCTCAGAGCCAGCAGATGGCAGGACTGAGCTGAGACATGGAAGGCTGGTTCAGGCCAAATCCAAGGCAGGGACAGTGGACGGCTCCTGTACAGGTATAGACAAGGAAAGAATCTTGTGAGGGGGAAGGAAACGCTGAAAGGGGGTGTCTTTGCTTCTGCCTGCTGCCGCCAGCCCACCTCACACTGGCTGGAAGAGGAGGAAATAAACAGCATGGGACAGGCCTGGTTCCCTCCTCGAAGGAAGGCCACAGGCATTCCCGGCCTCAGGCACCAGCATATACACTCAGCTAGGCTCATGCTTTCTCATCCACTGCGGTGCTGCTTGGCTAAGGTAGCAGAGGGCCCCGGCATCCCCAGTGCAAGCAAGCAGCTCAAAGCCTGGTCTAGACCGAAGAGAAGCCTCCAGCAAGACAATGGAGAGGTATGTGGCTGCACTGGGGCAGGGCCTGTGCCTGTGTCAACTTCTTTCCTGAGGTGGCTTGGACCTGGTTCTTGACAGGGCACTGGGGGTCCTTGCCAGGGGGCCAGCTGGAAAGGTGTATGATGCAGATCCACCAGTGTGACCTTTGCCTGTGCTTGGCTCGGGGTGTGTCTGTTCCCTTCAGGCAGGATGCTGGCTTCAGAACATTCTGTGAAACATCCTGAGCCCTGCCAGCTCCTGTGACATCCTGACGTAGGGAGCCTGGGGTGATAAACGGCTGTTTTGCTTCCTGCTTTGGAATTCTTTCCAATCACGAGACCTTCTGGACCTCACAGGCCTGTGTCAGAATCTGAATGTGGATGATATATGCACGGCCACGTGGAGAGCAGCGTTCCTTGCCAAAAAAATGAAGGAAGCCAGACTTGCTTCCTCTCTTGTTCCTCACTCCTTTCAAGCATCCTTCTCATCAGGGAAGTCTTTTGGGGGGCCTCCAGGTAGAGCCTGAACCTCAAGCTCTGCACCAGCATCAAGCGACCTGGAGAACAAGCTGGGCAGAGGTGATGGGGTCTGGAAGCACACAGGTTTTCTGAGCTGGGCTCACACCTTAGCAGTGTACCCTTGGGGAGAGGTACCGTATGCAGCTCCAGGACAGAGGAGTCAGACAAGCCATGATCTGGGGTTAATGCCTTTCCTGTTTCCATTTTAATTGGGACCCTCAAAGAGAGGGAATGGAGATGGATTGACCCCTGCAGACCACTCCTGGAGCAGAATTGGAGCACAGCTGGTGACAGGGAAGGCATCATGATACTCAGCAGACTAGCCCAAAGTCAAAGGCATTAGGATTGTTCTGGAAGTACAGATTCAAGAAGCCCAGAAAAATGTTCTTGTCTATGAGGAGGGCACAGACAGTAGGGTCCTGCTTCATGGCGGCGATCCACAGCCGAAGCGACGGGGTATGACTGACACAGCTGCAAAGCAGGAAAGAAGTGTCAGCATGCGCAGGAGTGGCATGGGGAAGGGACACGGACTGAGCAGGTGGCACAGCCAGACAGCAGGTATACTAGGGGAATGCAGTTGGCCTGGCTTATCTTTGCAGCTGAGCACGATGGTTCACTGGCGGGAGATTTTGTTGGAGGACAGCTGAGTGTGTTTGGGCTGCAGAGGTTACCCCCAGCCCCCAGCCCCTAGAGAAGTCCCCATGGACAGATGGCTCTCGGAAAAGCTATATTCCTCTGTGGCCCAACGAAGACAACCTTGGATGGGTGGACATTTAGGTCCACTATGGGTGGGGGTATCCCACCTGTGAAATCACTGGGGCTAGCCCTGCCAAGGCAGCAGCACATAGGACTTAAAATTCAGTGCATCTGACTACAATACCCAGACAGCCACAACTCATTTGCCAGTACCCACTGCATTACTGGCTGGGCCAGGGGCAGGTGCCAGCTCTCACCCAGATTCCCCCTTGCCCTGAGGGGGGGATGGAGAGGATGGGAACAGAGCATGTGTCTTGCCCGGACCCCACAACCACTCTCTCTCCTGTTACCACCACCCCTATGTGTTCACGGAGTCATGGTGTATGGGGACCACCTCACTTGTGCATTCCCACATCAAGCACTTTGCTTCTTACAAGGGGTATTCTCATGTGGGGGTCCAAGATGGGTCGCTCTGCCCATGCCTCGCCTAGCAAGTAGGGTGGCCAGCTCTGAGGCTCTGTGGGGAGCTGGTGGATGTGGGCTCCCATCTGCCGAACCCTGGATCCAGGGTGTAAGAGCACCAGACAGGGGGTGGCTACTGGTAGCTGAGGAACCAGAGTGCCTGCTCTGAACATCCCAGAATGCTTTCCCACCAGGGGTGCTAAGTGTAGCCCTCAGAGTTCTCAGCCATAGGGCGCAAGGCTTACTCTGCTATGCCGTACACATCCAGCCGCTCGAACCAGGGCCAGAACAGGTAGTCGATCATGGAGATGCAGTCACCCCCGAAGAAGGTAGTGTTCTGGTAGTCTAGAATCTGAAACCACAAACAAGGCCATGGTCAGCTAGACTGAGAGTCATCTAACCTGCAAGTCAGCTAACCCACACTCAACTCATCCCAGAGACAGAGAAATAACATTTAGCTTTCCTAAGTGGGACACATCAATCCAGGCAGAAGAACATCCCGCAAAAAAGTTCCTGAAATTTTGAAAAAGCAAAGGAATTAAAAAAAACTCTGTTTTACTCAGCAGGGCATTCTTGGGACTGTCCTGGCCAAAAGCTATCACGCAGAGACATTAATGGGGCCTGTGCAGAGTCGTTGAGTAAAGTGGCTTCATCATTCTGAGAATGAGTCAGTCCTCAGTAATGGATGCGTGCTTGGGATAGTTTCTAAACCTTTCCATCTACTCAAAGGACTAGGCTGCCTTTAGATAGAGAGACACTATTATTTATATATATATATATAAATGCACAGATGGACACAGGACAAGTGCATACAATACCCTTCACTTACCCCCTCCTCCCCCGCCCCCAGTACATACACACAAGACCTTCTCAGGGCCAAGAGTGACTTGGGCCACCCACATCAAAACCACCTGGGATTCCAGAGGCAGCTACAGATTCTGGACCCCACCTCGGACAGGCGTTCCTCCAGCAATGTCACGCAAGGCAAGTCTCAGACATTCACAGAATCTTTGCCTCAAGTGGAGGCTGCCATCCAGACATCTCCCACTGACATCAGATACCACCCCGGCCAGGCCTGGTCAGAGGCATGTGGAAAGGCCTGCTCTGACCTGTGCACGCACATACCTTCCCTATGTGAAAAACTGCCTTTCCTCTTAAAACCCTCCAACAGCGGGACTGGAAGGACCCCTGAACACATGCTCTCCTTGCTCTATAATGTACTCATTCCACAGAGGATTAGATGTGCAGTGCTAAAGATGGATGCATAACATACTTACTAGGAAAAAAATCATAAGATGTTAGAAAAATCGAAACCAGGAAGGGAAATCAGGCCACAGATCCTGCAGTGGCTTCAACGAAGCTTTAAATCTGACTCGAGTTTCCTGGCTTTCCATGCAAAGAGGAAAACACCTTGATGAGTTGATTCTTGTCTCCCATAGGAGAGTGTGAGGAGGAAATGCAGCCATGGGCAGGTGGATTGGCGGGGAGGGTGCGGGAGAGGGTTTCAGGGTCTTGTTAGTGCCAGAACTAAGACAAAGACACCGTTCTCCTCCTTCCCAGACTTGTGTCAACCTCGTGTTGACTTCCAGTATGTCCTTGTGAGAACGCGAGTCACAGCAGCTCCCTCCTGTCCCTGGTGAATATCTATTTGCTTTTCAAATTTAGGTTACAGCAAAAATCTTAGAAGCTGTAAGCCCTGCCACCTCCCTGACCTGGCTCAGAGCTTCCCTGGAAAAGAACTCCCAGCACTCGCAGCCCAAGCCGATGGAATCCTGTCCTCCCACCCGACTCCACAGAAGGGCAGGTCCCCAGGGAACTTTACCAGGAATTCCTTTCCATTCTCAGTTTAAACTGATACCCATGCTTGAGCAGCCAACTTTCCTTGGAAATAAATGATGGGTGGAGCCAGGGGTAAAATACACGGTAGTCCTATCTTCCAATGCCTTATCTTCCCTATGCATCTTAACAGATAAATGGAATGACAAGCTGATGACTGATCTCAATTCACAACCCTGCCGTCTCACTTCCTTTTATTTTATTTTTTTTTTACTTGACACTCCCATAGTTTCCCCAAGGTGTCCCCCAGGTGTCCTACATGAGCGAAGGAGTCCTGGGGTCATCGCCTGCTGCCTCCCACACTGTGGCCCACCTGGAAGCAGAGCCAGGCCTTGACCCCAGGTACTCTGAGAGTGGCAACCCCAGCTACACCCTAACCCATGAAAAGCTCAGATTTTGGGATGGAGGTGGGGTGTGGACACTTTGGCAATTGCCGGCCAGGGTCAGAAGTCTCTTTAGGGTCCTCAACAGCAAGTGGTAGCAAACACGGCAGCTTACAGATGCATAAGATGACCCTTCCTTCAAAATCCTGGCTATTTCACCTGTATTATTCTGTAAAATGGTGTTTGATACTCTGGCATATCATAAATATATATTTCAGAACTTTCTTTCCCCTAGTTCACTGGACAAGACCATGGACGGACTCGGTGAGAGTTGAGGCATGAAAAACACACACGAAGAGGGCAAACCCACTGAGTGGACCCCACGTCTTGCGCTAAGTCCCCACCCTGGGCTCCCCTAAATGAGGAACCCACAAAGACATCCTTAGGACCTCCGTCCTGCCGCTCCAGGGGAAGCAAGAAGCGCGCAGGGCACCCCCTGGTGGCCGACAGTGGCGAGGCACGGGGGAAGTGGCCACTCTTGAAGTCAGGACAAAAAGAAAAAGGTATGAAGTCTTTGTGAAACAAGTGAGATCAAGAAGACAAGAAGCAAATCCCAGACTTCTTCAAACTGGGCAGTCTACGAAGCTCCAGTCTAAAGTGCCATAACTCAGCTTCAGACTACGAAACAGGCACCTCGTTTCACCACCCCCAGTTACACCTTGCTGGGAACCCCAGAGCCAGTGTGGCAGCCCCCAGAGGGTGCTGTGGCGCTAGCTACAGAAGCAAGAACGCTTTCTTCTGGATAAAAATATTCACACCAAGCAGGCGCTTCTCCCAACTCTGTCCCCCAAAACCACACGGGAAGCCACTAAGGGGCAGGAGAGGACATAGCAGCAGCAGCAGCAGCAGCAGCAGCAGCAGCAGCAGCAGCAGCAGCAGCAGGGAGCTCATGAAAGATGAGTGGATACTCTCAAGGTTTAACTTCAGGTCCCTGCTGGGCTGATCCAGCTGGGGCCCAACAAACTCAGGGTATGTGCCAGATCAGTCTCCACTCTAACAGGATGGGTGGAAGTAAGAGTCTGTGACCCAACAGGCCTCCTTGCTGCCTGTGAGTCATGAGCCAGCTCTCCCCTCCCACCCCCCAGACCCCCGCAGGGGAAATTTGGAGCACAGCTTGGCAGTATTGGAGGATGAAGGCCCACACTGAAAATTCTAAACTGGAACCCTTCCAAGGGGCTTCCTCCACTCAAAATGTATTTGTAAGCTGGTAACAGGGTATTGCTTGGCAATATTTACAAACATTTGTAAAATGATGGCGAGTGGGTGGGTGGGATTATCAGCAAGCATTCAACAAATCTGTGAAGGAAAGAGGTCTTTGTAAGGATCCAGGGAGGGGAAGAAATCACAATAGAGAAGGCTCACGGTACAGGATGTTACAATGGTGTGATCCCATTTTAGGAGAAGAAAACTGTGCATGCAAACCTGTACATATAAATGAACGTCTAGAAAAATGTCTACTACTATGTATTCCAAAAAGATCGACTACATTCAAACCGAAGACCAAAGAAAACAAGATTATGTTTTTAAATCCAGTATCCGTGGTGGGCTTCTGGCATGGTGGTCATCCCATACTGAAGTGCCTGGTTGGAGTCCTGGCTCCAATCTTCCAGACCCAGCTTCCTGCTCAGGCCATCTACGAGGCAGCAGGTGAGGGCTCAAGTACCAGGAGACCCTGTCATCCACACGGCAGACTCACGTGGAGGTTTGGGCTCCTAGCTTCAGCCTGGCCTAGCTCTGACTATTGCTGGCATGTATGGAAAGGACCGGGAGAGGGAGCACTCTCTTCCCCGGCCCTTTCCCCCTTTCAAATAAAGCAAAAAATAATGCTAATAAAACTAAAATATATAAAGTATAAATACATAAATAATATAAATTTGGAAATTAAAAGGTGGAGTCAGTGCTGTGGTGCAGTAGGTAAGGCCTCTGCCTGGGACACTGGCATCCCATACACACATGGATTCAACTCCCAGACGCTCCACTCTTTATATCCGGCTCCCTGCTTCAGTTGCTGCATCTTTGCGGAACACCCAGAAAAAGCTCCTAATTCCTCTCTTTGGAATGGCCCAGCTCCAAGCCATTGTGGCCATTTGGAGAGTGAGCCAGAAGATGGAAGATCTCTCTAACTCTGCCCTTGAAATAAATAAATAAGTCTTTTAAAAGGTTAAAAAAGAAGAAGAAGAAGAAGAAACATCATGTCCTTTACACATGGATATGCAAAAAAAAGAAATCCACAAAAAGGTGGAACTAAAAGCTAGATTTATTTTGGTAGAAACAAGTTGAAGTCCATGCATTATTCTTTCATTAGACACATTTTCATGAACTTTCTAAAGATCCTGTGTGTATAAGAAGAACTCGTTAAAGAGAACTTTAACAAACTGATAAGGAAAATCAACAAGGTTTCCACAGTTATTGGGCAAAGGTCCTTGAGCAATGTCACAGGTCCAAACACAAAGGGAGGACAGAGACAGGAAAGCGACACCCAGAAGGACTGTTTGTCTCTCCTAAACAAGCAACTATCATTGTGCACGCAACCTCAAAAGGAGGTACAGCAGAAGGCGTCATCACCTACTTCAGGCAGCAGCAGGCTGCCCAAATCTTAAGGACAGGAAGTTAGTCTGTTACAGCATAACCCCTGGGGCCTGCCTGCCTCAGTGCAGTCATTCTACTGCCAAGAGTCCAACCACAAATAGGGAAAAGCTCAAGATTAAAGACGACGCAGGGAATGCCACATCCTCTGCAGCAACACTCGTCCCAGCCAGCCCCCCTGACACACCCCTGCTGAGTGGGCTGCACACATCACTTTCTGCATTAAAAGGGATTATTTATTTTAAAATATTATGCATGTAATTGGCAAATGCATTCTCATTAAATGTTCAAATAGAGAAAACAGAGTAAAACACAAAGACCCTCCCTCCCTCCCCTGGACAGCCACAACGGAGAGCCCCACGTGCAGCTCACATTTTTCACGGTGTTCATTGACACGTGCGTGTTCGCATGCACAGTTTTCTTTTCTTCTCCTAAAATGAGATCATACCATCTGTATTCCTGGTATATTTCATCTAAACATTTCTGGGTGATCTTTTCATGGCAGTACCCAGCCATCTGCCATATGCATTTTTAACTGTGCCACAGAATTTCCCAGGATGAACATAATTATTAACCATTCCCCACTTGATAGATTTTTGGGTTTCTAATTTTTCATCAACAAAAATGCTGCTCTAATAAACATCAAAGACATGAAGAAAACTCTTACATCCTCTGTAACCTGTTTCTACAAACAGCAGCTTTTCATCTACATCAAAATATCAAGATATATAGAAGAAAAGGATAGAAAGCAAACCCCCATGTAACACTAGTGATTATTTCTGCAAAGTGGAATTATGACATTTTAGAATTTTTCTATATTTTTCTGTAGTTTCCAAATTCTAAGGAACAGGTATTAATAATAGTATTAATTATGAGAATAATTATTTTGCTTCTTTTTTTAACATGGTGGGAATGAGTACAGTAGATAGCTGAAATCAATACAACACACATTAGTTTATCTAGAAAGCACCCATTAGAATTGGACAATGAGTGACGTGACCCGAGAGTAAGAACACTAAAAATCCCAGCCAGCCTTCCCGGGTCGGGACACTCAGCTCCCACATGGGAAACGAGGGTGATCACAGCCTCATGACACATTACTAGATACGCCACTTAGCCAGCATGTCCCGCAAAACCACGTATGTCCAGCCCAGAACTTGCACATATGTCTCCAGCCGCGTTAGTCATAACAGCCAGGAATGTCCTTTCATACATGGATGGATATAAACAAAACGCTGTGCATCCCTTCAATAGGATATCCTTACCAACTGTAAGAAGGAAAAAAAGGTGGATCTTGAGAATATTCTATGAAAGAATTCATGAAAGATCACTCATGTGAAACGTCCAGAGCAAGCAAATCCACAAGGTAAAAAGCAGAGGGTTCCGAAGAAACAGGAAGTGACCGCTAATGATCAAGAGATTACTTCGGGGGAGGGAACAAATGTTCTGAAATTCAACCTGGCGACAGTCACACAACTTTCCCTGTACTGAAAAAATAGGTAGATTTTACAGTTAGATGGGATGCATCTTTAAAAAGCTGTTACTGGGCCCAGCATGGTAGTCTAGCAGCTAAAATTCTTGCCAGGCATCTGCCAGGATCCCATATGGGCCCCAGTTTTAATCCCAACAGCCCCACTTTCCATCCAGCTCCTTGCTTGTGACCTGGGAAAACAGCTGAGGACAGCTCAAAGTCTTGGGGCCCTGTACCCATGTGGGAGACCCAGAAGAAGCTCTGGACTTCTGGCTTTGAATTGGCTCAGCTAAGGCCATTGCAGTCGCCTGGAGAGTGAATCATTGGATAGAAGATCTTCCTCTCTGTCTCTCCTCCTCTCTGTATATCTAACTTTCAAATAAAAATAAAATAAATCTTTAACAAAGAAAGTTGTTGCTGACAAAAATGTAGCAGCAATGAGTTTCATTTGTTGACATTAATGCAATGGAAAGAAAATAAATTTGGCTTGTATCTTGCTATATTTAAAAGGCCACAAAAATTATTTTCAGTGAAGAATTATTCAGACACAAATTTTCTTTCCTTTTTATCCTGGTGACATTGTAAGAGAAACAAACACTCTGTAAGTAATTCTATCACTAAAACTAAAAATTAGAGAAGAACAACATGAGAACCTAACTACTACCACATAAAGTTAATTGGGCTAATGTGTCCTTTTGGCAGAGAAGAATTAACAAATTAAAAATCCAGATGACAAGGAAGGCATTTGGTCTGTTGGAAAAAATGGGTGAAAGGTGCCTATATTCCATATCAGTATCGGGGTTCCAGTCAAGGCTCCACTCCCAGTTCCAGCCTCCTGCTAAGGTGCACGCTGGAAGGCAGTGGGGATGGTTCAAGTGGTTGAGTGCCTGCCTCCATGCAGGACTGAGTTCCTGGCTCCTGATCCTTGTGGGCATTTGGAAAGTGAACCAGGAGAGAGACTCTCTCTCAGTCTCTTTCCCTCTCCCTCCTTTTCAAGTATATAAATAAACTGGAAAAAAAAAATGACTAGAAGCAAAATTGAGAATCAAAGATGCATTTTAGCTACAGTTATGCAAACTCAGCCTCATGCCAACTGCTACACAGACGGCAGGCAATAAAATCTGACAATGTGGGATGCTATGCACAGAAATGCCAAATAAAGTGCCACCAAACAGGTGGATGGATGCAAGAAGCAGAAGTACAAGGCAGCCTGTGGCCCAGAGGATGAAGGTTTCCATCTTGGCAAGTTCTCATCTTTGGATCTAACTCAGGATTCTGTCATCTCCCTGCTCTCCTGACACTCTGCTGTATGAGATTCTGATAGGACCAGCAAACCAGGACTTAGAACGAATTTACAAGCACAGGAACACAGAATGAGAGCAAAAATCCAAAAGCATTCCCCCCACAATTAAACCAAATCTCATTCTTTAGAGCTCAGAACCTTCTTCATCTGACCATTTCCAACAAGAATACATTTTAAATGAAGGCACTGAAGAGGCCTAATGGAACCCAGGTGTTACCCATGTTACCTTCCTAGGCTCAGTCCCTACCTGATGACCCATCAGCTCAAATTGAGCATAAGGTATCCACCCTCGGACTCTGGGTCAGTGCAAAGTGTCACATGTATGGGTCGTGGACCTGGAAACCACTTTCCAGTGCTCCTGCTCCTTCACCAGACCCCAGCTTATCGCATCCCTTACAATCTCCCCACATGCCTGTCTCCTGCCCTCCTTAGGAAGACGCTCTCTGTACCTTCCCTGTCCTTGCTGTTGGCCTCTGCATGCCCCACACAGTTGCTGGGTTGAACATGTGAGAAGGCATGGCACACACTGCCTCCTACTTGCTAACCTTCCAACATGCTTCCTCCACTTGGGCAGATAACACAAACTCCTTGGCACACTGGACAAAGCTCTGAGTGTACAGTTCTGGGTTACCTTGCTTCTCAAATTCATCCTTGATGAGTTAGAACAGATACTGTCTATCTCCCACCTTCAAAAACTCTGTTTTGCATGTCTTCAGGCTAGCACTCAACACACTGAGGTTTAGACTTATATATATATACATCAGAAAGAGAGATACAAAACTATTCCATCCACTGGCTTATTCCCAAACACCTGCAACAGCCAGAACTGGGCTAAGATAAAACTAGGAGCTAGAAACTCAATTCATGTCTTCTACACTGGTGGCAGCACTTTTCTTTGTTCCCGAAAGCCCATTTTATTAGCTATGTCCTTGACCGTGGTGATTAAAGGCAGTGCTGGCCCGTGTGAAGTAGATCTGTCACCAACTACCAGGTCATGCCTCACCAAGGTTCTAGAATCCAGAGAAGCCAAGTCTAAAGTGCAAAACTCTTTCCATCACATCACATTGCCTTCTCACGATTAAGACCACAGTCAATAGTCTCAGGACAAAAGGTTAACATATCCTACACTTGACAATCCATCATCTCTAAATACTGCAAGTGCACAAGTCTAAGAGAACAACCAAAGTGTAAATAAGTCCAATCTGCTTCCACTTGATAAAGGTCAAAATGGAAGATTATGAACACTCAGCATTCCTTTAGGAAGCTGAAAAATAGCATTCTCTGGCTGCCAAGAGAACAATCCACCTCGTAAGGGAATTAATCAGCTTCTGTGACAAAGATAAAGGAAGTCCAAGAACTGTCTTCCAGATTATTCTAGAAGTAAGGCAGACAAGTACTTCAGTACTGGCAGATGAACATAGGACCTTCACTGGCAGACACTGCTCCTCATCCACAAACCTTTCTTCTTAGTTACAGGACCCTGAGTTTATTTGCATGTCTCACCTAAAACTGAGTTTCTTAGCTTCTCTACACATTATGTTCTGGCCAGTGAGACACCAATAGTCACGCAGCAGGGTTTCAGAAAAGTCCATTACAGAAGCATGCCATCTGCCATCTGCTTCCTTGTCCTTCTCCTACCTGCAGTCTGGATGTGATGGCTGCAGGTGCAGCAGCAGCTAAGTTGTCATTTTGAGGAAGGAAGCATTACATGGATGATGACCAAACCCAGAAAGAGAATGAGCCTCAGTGGCTGTTAACTTTACACAGAAACCATCAACTCAGCTCCGAACTGTACAACTCTGGCATTTTAACATAAGACCTTAAGCCCTTAATCAGATACATTTATGGTGGTTAGGCTCTTTTCACCCACAGCCAAACACAGTCCCAACCAATGCAGATTGTGCTTTGTGGCTGGAAGCTGCAGAGTCCATGTAGAAAACATTCAGGGAATGGAGTGACTTGGGAGAGCAGCCACGCAAGGCACATGCTTTCTGACTCCCTGATAGTTTCTGGAGAACTGCAGAGCATCAGCAAGCTCAGCTCTGATGGCCAGATGCTGCACTTCTTAAAGTCTGGTAGGAATAAGTTCATGAGAGCAGGAGGTATCGGAGGGACCAGATTAGGTGACCCTGCATGGCTTTTTTCACGGTATCCTCAGACCAGGAGACCAGGGGCCCCTTTATGTACCTCTTCCAAGTTGCAGAATTCCTGACGCAGGGCTGTCTTCAGATCGTTGCATTCCCTCCCACATCTCAGCGCCACCAGACACTCCTTGGTTAGGTGTGGGACCTAATCAGAGGATACAAGATGTTAGTGGATCACTTGTCAGTCTTTTGGCTGAGGTCAAGTGTAGGACCTTAGTGGAGAATGCATTGTTCCTGCTATGCCTAAAGACGCAGCACCGCTCTGCAGTGCACAGGCCTGCAGCCACAGAGTTCCCAGCTCCCTACCAGAGACACCCAGCTTCTCTGTGGCTCCAGGAATCCACCTGGCACAGTATCCTAGAGAACACAGGGCTTCAACAGGGCTTCGCCTGTGCTCCTTACTCCATCAGCTGTTGTGCATTCTTAAAGGGGCTGCTTAAGCTAAGCCTTAGTGTTCTCATCGGAAAAAATGGACAATAATAGTGCCTGGCTGACAGGGAAGATATTGGATTGAACTGGTAAACCAATTAGGACAGGATTTGGCAACTCATTAGTTGCTTAGTAGGTGTCACCCATTAATATCACTGAGTTACTTCTTTTCAGTGGGAACTATCTTAACCTTTATGCAGCTCTTTTCTCTAATTATTAAAAGCTACCTCCTTTTTCTCTATCCCTCACATTTCCCATACAGCTGGAACTCTGGCTCTGCACAAAGGATAATTCCTGTGCTTCCCTTTTTGGGATAGTATTCTCGCATCAACATATTTTACGTGAAGCTCAGGAAATCCTCCTTTATTTCATTAATTTTATTTATTGGAAAGGCAGATGTGCAGAGAAAAGGAGATACAAAGAAAGATCCTCCATCTGCTGGTTCATTCCCCAAGCAGCAGCAATGACCAGAGCTGAGCCAATCCAAAGCCAAAAGCCTCTTCCAGGTTCCCCATGCAGATACAGGATCCCAAGGCTTTGGGCCATCCTCCGCTGCTTTCCCAAGCCACAAGCAGAAGACGGATAGGAAGTGGAGCAGCTGGAACATGAACCAAAGCCCATATAGGATCCTGGAGGATGCAAGGCAAGGACTCAGCCACTAGGCTGTCGCGGTGGGCCCCTGAGTCTTCCTTCTTAAGGAGCATAAGTCTATACCTTTTTCAGTAATGCCCTGCAAGTCACATGGTCATTATCATGTCATAACTAAGCCTTTCCAGCACACTAGTTGAAATCGAACCTAGCAATTAAAATCTGGAAAATTTAATATCAGAGGGCATAATATAATTCCATGAAGTCATTCTCTGGAGACTCACGTGAAACAATGTCACAAGTGATTGGGCTTTACAATGGGTTGAAGTTTGGGACAGACATACAATGCAAAACAGAGCGGCCTTTCGCCATGGACTCTACCTTACAGAACAGCTCCAGTAACATCTTCTGTCGAGCTCGCTCATAGGGGTCATAGGGAAACAGCTTCCTTCCCGGGTAAACATCATCCAGGTACTCACAGGCGATGACAGACTCATAGACCAGTTGACATTGGCTGTTCTCCAAGACAGGAATTTGACCATAGGGATGCTTTGTGTAATACCAGTCGGGCTTGTTTTTCAGGTTAATATTGATAATTTCATGTCTTAAAAAGCAAAGGGAAAACAAAACAACAAAAATGAGGTGTGTGCTTGGGCAGATACAAAAGCAACCAATTTATAAAATTATTTTTAAAGTTTTAAAATCATGGAGCTTCCTTGTCCTCACATGATGGGTACTGAGAGGGTAAAGTGTGGGCTATGCACTGTGTTCTGTTCATGACAGAAGAGTTGACCTGAGCTCCTGGGTCTGGCTACCTTCCAAGGAACAGTGAGGAGAGGTCTCAGTAGCCTTGACCATGTACCCCTAATCATGAAAGGGAGTGAGGGCACAGGGACACAGCCCCAGAGAAAGCTCTGCCTGTCGGTGCTCAGTTCTACCCTCCCAGCCGCTATCCTGCGCTGACCCTTCAGGAGGAGTGCCTGGGCTTCTCTCACCTGATGCCTTTGGCCCTGAGGACAAGGCGTGTCCTGTGCGAGTACGGGCAGAACCTCATGCTGTACAGGCGGATCACGCCCTCCGGGACCGGCCCTGGGGGACAGCTTCCTATAGGGCAGGGTGAATGCAGAGGCTGGTTAGCTCTGTGGGCAGAAGGGGTCTCTCAGTGCCCAGGAACCCTGGGGAGATGGAGCTGGTGGGGGGTTATGTGGGTGCTGTCTCCCAAGTCCCAGAGAGGACACTTGGCATGAAGCTTTTCTGCAAGGGAACTCCTGTAAACCCCTCCGCACCCACCTGATTTGCAGGACAAAGCCAGCAGCCCCAACCCCAAGCCCCCAGAGTTGGGTGGAGAGGATTTACCTTTACACAGTGTCCTGGTTCCATCTCTAGACACGACATCCAGGTATCTGCACTGCACCCTGCGCTCGCTGTTGCTGCAGCAGACTCCGGGAGCGGCTGCGCACTGGCGCCCCTTCTGCCCCGAACTCATTTTGTGAACACGTTGTCAGGAGGCATGGGATCTGGGGCAGGAGCTGGGGGACCTTAGCCTGGGGGAAACATAGTCCCAGATTCCAATGCCCAAGAAGAGGAACGGATACAAAAATGCCCCCAAATTCCATATACCTCCCTAAAAAAAAATCCCCTGTCCTGGACATATGAGCACCAAGAATCCATGAAGAATGTGTATTTAAATCCCAGCATGCATTTAAGGAAGCACAATGAAGATGAAAGAGGCCAATGCCATCTTTTACCCTTCCAAGCTCTCCTTCTTCATATCATTAAAACAGCTGACCACATTGTGTATGACAAACATAGATTTTTGTTTTTGTTTTGTTTTTCTTTTTTTTTTTTTAAAGAAAATCATTTCTTCTCATGATATAGCAGATAGGGAGGGAAACATTACTGGTGCTGAGAACTTGATGTCTGATTTAAGAAGTGAGCATCTGCCCTATCTACCTCACTTGCTTCACCTTAGCCCTGGCTCACCTTAAGAGATTTTATTCAAGTTCTGAAATCTGATTGTGACTAAGAACAAGAGACTAGAGGGCTAAGACCAATGTGTGAGATCTGGTCTAAATGTTCTCAGTCTAAATTTCTGAGATGACTCTTTCTGGTTGGAAAGGACTATCCCAACAACACAGAGCCACTATCCCAACAACACAGAGCCACTTACACAGCGTCTTTATTTGCTTGAAGTCAGGGAGACAGCTGGCTTTGGCCTTAATACTGATGCACTGAGATCCTGAATGTCAGCAGGTGGAAAAATACTTTCTGCACATTTCCAGGACTGAGCTGATGCAGGGGTTACTCATGCATGCAGTTTATGACATTGACAGGTAACGAAGGAAAGAATCGTGTTATGTACCCGGCTCATGGTAGTTCCATGGGCTCCTTCATCTGATCCCCACAACTGCTCAGCTGGAAAGCTAGTATTAGTCCTACTTTTCAACACAGCTTCAGAAAAATGAAATTATTTGCCCAAGATGTTCTAGCTTGTTGGATTGAAGAATTTTAAAAGTCCATAGACCTACTCATGGTCTTGGCCTCCAAAGCTGAGAAGTGTAGAGGGGAAATGTAGAGGGCATAGGAGTGTAGAGGGGAAATGATGCTAGGTTCAAGAAAGTAGAGCATGTAATGGTGCTCACCAAATGTTAGCTGGTCTAAGTCATTTAGTAAAATGATAGGGCATAATCATGTGCTTTATACATGGGCAGGTTTTGGCCTTGGGAATTAAATCTACCCTGAAGGCTTGGTTCATAGGATGAACAATTCCCCCACCTCCTACTAAATAGAATCTTTGAAACCTTTATGAAAGAGGCTCAACTACATTTTTTTTTTCTAAGCCATTCAGTGATTTCATGAAGGGTAAGTTTAAATAATAACACAGCATGTGTTGTTGCACTGTAAGAATTAAGAAATGCCAGAAATGTCTGAATAAATGTTCTCTGACGGTCTGGCATGGTAGCCTAGGGGCTAAAGTCCTCGCCTTGCATGCACCAGAATCCCATATTGGTGCCAGTTCTAATCCCAGCAGTTCCACTTCCCATCCAGCTCCCAGCTTGCGGTCTGGGAAAGCAGTCGAGGACGGCCCAAAGCCTTGGGACCCTGTACCGGCATAGGAGACCCAGAAGAGGCTCCTGGCTTCAGATCAGCTCAGCTCCAGCCATTGCGGTCACTTGGGAAGTGAATCAGCAAATGGAAGATCTTCCTTTCTGTCTCTCCTCCTCTCTGTATATCTGACTTCGTAATAAAAATAAGACAAATCTTTAAACAAAAAGGGTGGTAGAACAGAAGCAAGAGACAGAATCAGTCATGTGAGAGGTCATGGTGGGTAAGGAGTTGATTCCCAGGAAGAGAGATATGTTCCTCTCATAAAGAAGACTGAATTCAGTTACTCCAGAGAAATATTCAGATTCTAAAAGGCAACGTCATAAAAGAAATGCAAAGAAATGCAAATTAAAACAAATTATTGCTAACATTCTGTATGCTATATGTATTAGCCCATGTTGTCCTTAAAACAGTCCTATAAATATTCCATTATTACTAATGTTAAAGGATGAGTAAACAAGGCTAAGTACTTGTTAAAAGCCTAAACACTAGTAAAGGGAAGGATCAGGAGCCCTGAAGGTAGCCTCCGGGGCAAAACTCTCAACCAGCACCTTAGTCTATTCCAGACACAGTGAACTCATCAGCGAGCAACAGTATTTCTAGATAGTAAAGATTTCATGTGTTTCAGACCATCTCAATTAATTCTACTCCTATGGGGTAAAACAGCCACAGATAATACATAAACAAATAGATGTGACTGTGTTCTAGTGTAACGTCATCTATGGATACTGAATTTGAATTTCATTTATATTTTAATCGCCTTTATTTCTAGAATACTTTTAGGTTCACATCAAAATTACGGAGATACAGAAATTGTCCCTACAGCCTCTGCCCACCCTCCCACCCCCATCCACAGTGCACAGCCTCCGCCACCATCAGCATCCAAACCAGAGTGTTAACACTTGTCACAATCGATGAACCTGCACTTAACACATTATCACCCAATGTCCACTGTTTCCACTAAGTCTCAGTCTTGTTGAATTTCACATGATTTTTACATCATAAATTATAATCTCTATTCTTTCCAACCATTAAAAAAATGTAAAAATTATTCTTAGTTTTTGGACTATAGACAAATCAGTAGTTAGCTTGATTAGCCCATTGGCGTCTGTGCTATTACAGTTCATTTACAGCAGCCAAAACTGGAATTCTACTTAGAAATTTCAGCATTCTATTATGATAGAAGAGGTGTTATTTTTAAGGTTTCTTTCTTTCCCTTACTTTTAAAGGAAATCAACTCTAGAGTTGGAAAATGTTTACTGGAGGTTCTTCAAAATGCTTTTGGAAAATGCCTATTATTTAAAATGTTGGCAAAATGATTGCACCAAGTAAATCTTAAATTCTATCCTCCACATATGTGGGAAGTCAAGTTCTTAAATGCAAATCGACACGATTTTTCTCAGGGGAGAAAAAAGCAGGCGGATGGCAACTGTTTTTCGGAAAGCAATAGATGGTTAAACTGCAACCTGACTTGGGAGCCAGAAGGGCTGACTTCAGACTTGGCTTTGGCACTAAAACAAGCAAGGTGACCTCTTTTTCACCTTGCTCACTATACAATGACATTAACACCACTCTGCATACTGAATGATATGGCATCATCCGTGTCAGAGCTCAGTGTATTTCAAAACTAATGTCAAACACGAGCAAATAAGAACACATTCTTAATAGCTCAGTGCATTCATTTTGAATCCATAAAGTGAACATATATTACAATTCAGCATTGTCAGGTATATTAGAATTAAAATTTAATCCACAATACTTATTTGGCCAGTTACTAGTTCAATGCCCATCCAATGGTTGGCTGTACTGTAGCTTCTAATCTTACCACAACACTATGGTTTTACTAGAAAGATTTTAATTATAACCTTTCTTATTCTCATTTCCTTTTCAAAACCCAAGAGGAGCCTCTTTGAAATCCTGTTTTTGAACTTTCTCCCCGTGCTATTTTTTCATGCTTATTTCTCCATTATACTAACTTACTCTAGTGTGAAATGAAATGTAATAAGGCCATACTAAACCCACTCTGAATTGATTTCCAACCACCTGAAATATAATCAGATGTTTGGAAAACATGGGGAACTTCAGTCAGGGATAATTAACAACTTACGCCTTCTAGGAAAAAGAATACCACCTCTAGAAACATTTTTTTCCACTCTATTTACATGAGTCTGTTTTAAGAAGAGGAAAAATGATTTACATTTTGAATTTTTCTAAACATTTTGTCATGCCTGCTAGGGGCAGAAACTAGAGGGTATTACTCATGATTTTTTTTTTTACTCGTAATATTTTATTTTACTTTATTTTATGTGATAGGAAGAGAGAGCAAACCATCTATCTGCTGGTTAACTCCCCAGCACCACATTCCAACTGCACTGGGCCTGTGCCAGGCCAAAGTCAGAGTCAGAAGCGGGGAAATCAATCCAGGTCCCTGGCATGGGTGGCAAGGCTCCAACTGCATGAGTCAGCACTGCTGTCTCCCATGGTTTGCATCAGCAGAGACCTGGAGTTAGAAGCTAGGTTTGGATATTGCACCTGGGCACTCCATCCAGTGGCCAAGCCCCCACTTGGTAGTCTCAAAGCCCAATCCAGATGGAAGATCAGATTACTGAGTATTCTACTTTTGTTCAAGGAATTCAAAGAGGGAGACAAGAGAAGGAAAAAGTTCCACGTGCAAACCTAACGGCATTCAGGACTGTTGTCTAGGAGGTGAGGCGCACAGGGAGTGCTGTGTTCTAATGAAGATGCCTTTTGAACACAGCAGCTAAGATCACTAAAGCGGAATTTCCTCTTCCCAGGAGGGAAAGCAGAATCAAAGATTTTCTTTTTAAGTATGTGCTTTTGCATTCCTGTCCTTACTTCCCTCTACAACAGGAAGAATCAAAGAAAAAGGTTTGAGACATTTGAATAAACAAAAGCAAGTCTGAGACACTGAAATCTGCAAAGCCAAGTATTTGTAAAATCAAAGAGAACACACTGAGTTTAGAAAAGGAACATCAACGCCTCCTGTTAAATCTCGGCCATCAAAGAGTTGCACCAGAGATGTGGTGCAGCCCATTAAGCCACCCAGGTACAGTCCCAGCAGCA